GTTAGTTTACAAATTATTTTGTGCTTCTATTTCGTAGTCTTCAATTACAATTACATTACATATAATCTCATATTGTCAATCAAAAACTAAATACCTTAGTGTCATTATTAATCAATCATTTGACTATACTTTTATTCATTCATGTTTTACAAGTTAACCATAATTTACTTAATTTATTCATATCATCATCCCAAATCTATCCTAAAATCATTTTGTAATTATAATAATAAAAAAAGTACTTCTTTATATATTTACCGTGTTTCTCATATAATAAGGCCGGGTCTTATTTTTTTTTGAGCCCCGAAAAAATGGCTAGGCTGTCTTTTCAGGGGTGACTTAATTACCCCCCCTTGCATCTTTGGGCATGCGGGCAGCAACGGCTTGGATGTTGACCTCGGTGTTGGTGGGGCACTTCGTATCGGGGTCAACGCAGGCAGCACCATATCCGGGTGTGCAACCAAAGTACTTCCTAATGGCAAGGCCGCTCCCCACCATTCCCCCCCATTTTGCATGTTTTAATATAGGCCTTAATTTTGGGGGAGGGGCTTAATTTCATTTCATGCCTATAAAACATGCTGGGACTTGCTATTGGGGGAGGCTGTATTGTTGGAGAAACGGGGTATTATTTTCTAAAAATCTACATATTCCATTACTGTACTTAGTTATCTAACCATTGATAGAAAAGATCCCAAATTTTATAAAATTGTTCATGCTCTTGTTCTCTAATCTCAAATGTCAATCTACTCATTTCAGCACATTCCAATATTTTCTTAATGATTTCCTCCTGTGATGGTATCTTCTCATTTTTCCAGTTTTTAGCAAATACTATCCTAGCCGTTGTTAATACATTTACAATCAGGTATTTCAAATCTTTGCTATATTTCAGGTAAAATTCCCAATAAAAATATCTCTGGTTTCAAGTCTATATGGTTTTTCGTCATTTTCTCCAACCACATGTAGATTTTAGTCCAGTATTTTTTGGCATCCGCACAAGTCCACCACATATGGTAAAATGAGCCAGGTGTCTGATGACATTTCCAACATTTTTCGGATGTATTCTTGAACATTCTTGCTATTCTTGTCAGGGGGAAATGCCACCTGTAAAACATCTTATACAAATTTTCTTTATATGCTGTTGACATTGTCATTTTATAATTTTGAGACCACAATTTTTGCCATTTCTCTAAATCAATCCCATATCCAAAATTCTTCCCCCAAGCAATCATAGTTTCTTTAACTTGTTCTTCTTCTAGTTTAATTTCTAATAAATATCCATACAATTTTTTTTAAATAATTTTTTTTTATTTTTTAATAACAAAATAAACATAAACATACATAACAAAATAAACATAAACATACCACAAAAAACATAAAAAGATCCTTCTTCATGAATTTACATACAGTGCATCAATTTTTTAATCACCTTTTCATCAGTACCTGTCAAAATCTTATCTAAGTCAGTCAATTTATCATAGAAACCTTCTGTTTTAGGATCTTTATCATACCTTGAATGTATTTGCGCATATGAAAACCAATTCATCTTCATACCTTGTTCCTCTAGTTTTTGCATAGATTTAAGTTCACCCTTTTCATTCAGTATTTCACCATATCTAACTCTTTGTTCCTTTTTATATATTATAGGATACGAAAATGCTTCAGTAGTCGATCACCAGACTGGAATTTTCGAATAACATTGTCTTTTAACCTTCTCCCAGTTTAACCATAGAAACTCCCATATATAATGTCTTCTAAAATACCCCTGTGTTTTAGTTCCTTTGTACCATAAAAAAGCATGCCACCCCAACAACAGGTCGTGTCCTTCTAATGTCAACAATCTAACATTTCTTAGTATTATCCATTCCTTAACCCACATCAAATTTGTAGCTTGGTAGTACAATTCCCAGTTAGGCAAACCAAATCCTCCTCTAATTCTAGCATCTTGCAGAAGTTTTAACTTTATTCTCACTTTCTTACCTTGCCATATATATTTCAACACAATTTTATTTAAATCTTCAAAATAATCTTTTCCAAGCCTAATTGGAATTGTTTGAAACAAATATAACATTCTGGGTAATATATTCATCTTGATTGTTGAAATTCTCCCTATTAGTGAAAGTTGTAAGTTTTCCCATTTCGCCAAATCTAGCACTATCTGCTGTTTAAGTTTAATATAATTATTCTCTTTTAATGTACTACATCTTGCTGTCAAATATATTCCCAACTACTTGATCTTATTCGTGACTTGAATTTTCAATACGTCTGCCAGTTCTTCCTTTTGTCTTAATAGCATATTCTTTGTCAAAATCTTTGTCTTATCTTTATTTATTTTCAAACCAGCCACCTTTCCATATGTCTCTATCTTTTCTATCAATTTTGATGCTGTTTCTAAAGGGTCTTCTAAGATGAAAACCAGATCATCTGCAAATGCTTGCAACTTAAATTCTTCCTTTTTGATTTTAATTCCTTTTATATTCTTTTCATCTCTAATATTTCTGTTTAACACTTCCAAAGTTAACACAGACAACAAAGGTGATAGTGGGCACCCTTGTCTTGTTCCTTTTCTTATATTAATAGAGTCTGTCAGCTTCCCTCTATAATTACCTTTGCCGTTTGCTTATAGTATATAGCTTCTATTGCTTGGATGAATTTTCTAGCAAAACCCATCTGTTCCAACAGTAATAACATGAATCGCCAATTCACATTGTCAAATGCCTTCTGTGCATCTAAAAATATCAAAGCCATTTGTTTTTCAGGATGTGTCTTGTAGTATTCCAAGGTGGCAGAAATCCATTTCGATCAAGATGGATGAAATTATTTAAATATTTTTTAAGTCTTTCTGCCAATACTGAAGCAAAGATTTTGTAATAAAAATCAAAGCGGATTTTTCTGATTTCTTATTTAAGTCTCTTAGTTGTCAATATAAGGAAGGAGAGAGAAGAAAAAAAGCCAAACCTTTCCCTTTTCATTTTCTTTCGCTGCTTCCGACTCTTCTTTGGGAGCGATGTTATTTTTTGTAAAATTTAAATTCCAGGGTACCTTAGTTGTTGCTTTTTCAACTTAACCCAGTCAGCCAAAACTTTCACTTCTTATCTTCCTCCTGCACGTTCTTTTCCGGTTGAGTTCTTCTTTGAGGTGGCCATTTCTGACAACCACTCCTACCGCCTTCGGGAAAGGGAGTAATGGCCAGCTGAGGAGGAGAGATGTGGCTCTCCTCGACCCTGCTGGCAGTCTCCCCACTCTTCACCACCTCTATGGGGTGGCTTAGCCCCGAAACCAGCCGGCTTGGGGCGCTCCAGCGGCGAGCCCAGACAGAAACTGCACATGATCACGGATTCCTGTCTGTCACCAAAGCCCTTCAAACTGGAAGTCCCAGGATGATATCTTCCTAACCAGGACTTATCACCATCATAATTGAATTCACGCACCTTCCTCTTAGTCATCCTCTTCTTCTCTTTCCTTTCCTCTTTCCCAACATCAGAGCTTTCTCCAGAGGTTTAGGACTTCACATAATAGGTCTGAAATGAGATAAGTGGAGCTATGGTGATAATTCTGGGCTCATTTGCAGCTTGATGAGAATTTGGGGTTGACTTCATCATCTGCAGGGATGTCCAACACATCCTCATGCATCTGGACAGAGAGATAGTGATAGATAGATAGATAGATAGATAGATAGATAGATAGATAGATAGATAGATAGATAGACAGATAGGGAGATAGGGAGATAGAAAGAGAAAGGGAGATAGAGATAGAGATAAAGAAAGATGGAGAGAGAGAGAGATGGAGCTACAGAGGGAGAGAGTTAAAGAGAGGTAGGGAGAGAGATAAAAAAGATGGCGAGAGAGAAAAGATAAAGAGAGAGAAAGAGAGAGGGAGAGATAAAGTGAAAGGGAGGTAGGGAGAGAGAGATGGAGATAGATAGATAGATAGCGATGGAGGGAGATAGAGAGTGGGGAGAGAGAGGGAGAGAGAGGAAGAAAGATGGAGAGAGAGATGGAGATAGAGAGGGAGAGAGAAGGAGAGAGAGAAAGAGGAAGAGAGATAAAGAGAGGTAGGGAGAGAGGGATATGCAGACAGACAGACAGACAGATAGATGTTCTCCATTATGATTTGCCCATAACCTGTTCTTTCAAGTCTCCCAATTATGTATCTGTTGCCACCCTAACTGAGTCCATCCTCCTTGCTGCTGGTCCTTCTCCTTTTCTCCTTTGTTCTACCTTTCCCAGCCTTAAAGCCTTTTCCAGAAAGCTGGATCTTTGCATAATCTCTTCAAAAAAAAAAAAAGAGGATAATTTGAGCTGAAACCCAACGAGCCATCTCAACTCTAGATGCTCAACCCCCCATTCAACCTTTACCTCTCCCGATGCAGCGTCTGCCCCAGCTGAGAGAAAGCAACCTCCCCTTTGCTTTCCCACAACAGCTTCTCTTCCCTTTATGTTTTATAAAACAGCTTTAAACGATCTTGGGAAGAAACGCAGCTCCTTTACGACGCTGAATGATCAGTGTCATGAAAGTTTCCGTGGATGTACAGAGCAATCATCTACTTAGGAGTGAAAGAACAACCTGTTCCTTTTTTTTTTTTTTTGGCTTTGATTATTGCAGCATTAGATCAAAGGGGGAGGAGAGGGAAAAGCTTGTGTAAATGTCAGAGGAGATACTGGGAAGGAAGGGAGGGTGAAGACATCCGTGTGTGCAAAAATCCGGGGAAGCAAAGGAAAGGGCCTAAAAGGAAAGAGGCAGGCCCTGGGTGGAGCCCCTTCTGCATGGTGGGGAAGGGCAGCAGGAGAACGACCAGTCAGATACACAGATTGGAAGGGACCTTGTAGGTCATCTAGTCCAGAGGTCGGCAACCTTTTGGACCTCAGGGACCACCCAACTCATAATTTTAAATCCAGCCGACCGTAAATAGTTTTCAAAGATAGCAACTAGATAACTGAAGTTTCTGCCAACTGGAGAACATGATTGATGACTCTTGGTAATGGATGTCCCTCATTGAAGAATATGAATTATGATACACCCAGGGGGTGGGGGAGAACCAGGGTCAAGGGTAACAATGAACCATGTGTCTCAGAGTCGACTACACCAAGGCAGTGCCGAATATGTTAACTCCCAATAAATCCTTTTGAAGTTTTGGAAGTTTGGCTCAAGACTCATGATTTAATTGGGGGTAACTGCCGGAATCCTGACACTGACCTTCTCCTGCAATCCTGCACTCTCCCTGTGTCTTCAACAGCTGACCAGTGGCAATCTGCTGTGCCATGCAAAGCAGCTGAGCTTCAAAACCAGGAAATAAAGGTCGGTATAGAGCCAGGGTGGGTGGGAAGCTGATTGGCAAGCAGCTGATTGTTGGAGCAAACTGGTTCGCTCAACATATGATCCTCAGAGCTACTGGGCCAAACCAGTAGAATACCATCACTGCCAAGGACCCTTCCAACTCTGTAATTCTAGAATTGCTGACTTAGTGGCCCATTCTAGTCCACGTAAAATCTCTTATTCCTAAAACACCTAATTGAATGGGCTTTATTTTGGCTTTGATACTTTTAAAATTCTCCTTGGTTCACGCTTCCTTCTCTTTCAATGCCAGCACCATCAAGTGACCAGACTTCCTTCTGGCTTTGGTTTGGCTACTCATGAAACATCTTCCATAGCATCTAGAGCAGAGTTCCTCAACTTTTCCGGCTTTGTGAACCAGGAAAGGGGGAGGGGAGGAGGGGATAGTTCCATGCAAGTGGCCAGCAAGCGTGCACATGCAGCTCCATTGGTGCAAGCAGTATGCGTGCAAGCCTGCCGCTCATGTAAATAGAGCGTGTACGCATATGCTCGCCTGCTGGTTGCACAAGTCGGGATGAGCATGTGTGCACTTACCAGCTGTTTCCACGGCACGGTTGCAAATCCCTCCCGGCCCACTAGTGGGCTGTGGCTCACCGGTTGGGGATCCCTGATCTAGAGGATCACCTTCCCACATTGGCATCCCATTGGTGGCACCCAAAGATTTCCAAATCTTTCAGTCCTGTTTACACAATTTCCTTTGCAACAGGGCCAACGTGAATTCTGATTTTGTCTTCTGATTTTGATTTTGGAATCCTTGATGGTCAGATCTCTTAAGGCTGCAGAGCCCTAGCCGTTCCCATCCCACTCAGGGGTGGGATTCAAAATGTGTTACACCGGTTCGGTGGGCATGGCTTGGTAGGCATGCTTTGCGCGTATGCACACACTTTGTGTGCGTGTGTGCACCAAACACACATTGCGCAGGTGCAGAGGCGTTCCAACTCACCTCCTGCAAGCCTGCACTCTCCCAGCCGCTTCAGAGCTACTGCGCAACACTCTGATGTGCCGCGCAAAGCAGCTGCGCTTCCAAAATAGAGGATAAAGGTGAGTATGGGAGCCCAGGAGGGCAGGTGGGCCCAACAGCAGAGCAGCAGAGAGGTCTCTACTGCTCATCGCTGCTACTGGCTTGGCAGAACTGGGCTGAACCGGTAGAATACCAGCACTGATCCCACTGTGGATTATCCTTCCCACCAAAGTGGTACCTATTTATCTGCTCCCATTTGCTGCTTTCAAACTGCTAGGTGAGCAGGAGCTCATCCCGTCACGCAGCACTTGAGTCTTCAACCTGGGCCATCAGCTTTCTAGTTGACAATAGGAATGGGATTCTGCCATTTTGGACCAGTTCGGGCGAACCTCTTGCTTCGAAGATCAGCTGTCTCTTCATCGGTTCGCTGCGACGATCATATGGGCCCACCAACCCACCCCTGTGCAGTACTGACCTCTATTGTCCCAGCTGATTAGCACGGAAGAGCAGATTGCTGCTCCTCAGCTGTGTTACTCCCCCAAAGCAACATAGTAGGTAAGGACTTTTGTATTGTGTTGACGCGTGCGCAGCGTGTGTTAGGTGCGAACACGCATGATCACCGAACCAGGTGTTATACCGTCAGCATCACACCCCGGGTTGACAAGCTCAGCGTCTTTATCCTCTGAGCCAGGGGTCCCCAACCACCGGTCCCCAGACCAGTACTGGTCCGTGGATCATTTTTTACCGGGCTGCAAAGCTTGGGCGCCACCATCTTGTTTCGACAGTGTTTCCGGTTTTTCGGTTGCTTCCAGGTTTTTGGTTGGAGAGTGCTTCCGGTTTTTCAGTTGGAAAGCGGCGTTTGGGTGCTCGCGCCTCAGTTTCGTTGAAGGGTGGGGCGGCTTCGAAAGAAGAGCCGTCCCGATGGCGGTGGAGTCTCACATTACTCAGGTACCAGTCCGTGGAAGAATAAATAATTGTGAAACCGGTCCCTGGTTCGAAAAAGGTTGGGGGCCACTGCTCTGAGCCATTGCGTCCCTTCCCCCTATCATATCAAAACATAATGATCAGAAATGTGCAAACACTTCTATTCTCCTTTTAGACTTTGGCAGCCTGGTGTGGTGGCCTTGTGGATTTCTGGGAATGGATCCTTGAACCGTATTATGGATATGGCATTCTAGCTGAAATAACCAGATCAGAGGAGGAATGGAAGATTCCACACATTCCTAAAAGTTACATTCTGCCCAAACCGCACAGTTGTTATTATTTGCCTGTTCCTATTATAGGAGACCTTATTAATGTCAGATGGACCAAACATGCTCTTTTAAATTCTCTCTTATTCCACCAGGATAGTTTCATCTGCAGAAAAGTTCTAGGCTTTTAAATGAAAGGCCTGAAGACTAAAACATACGAAGAAGAATGGTTGCAGAAACTGGGTATGGTTAGACTAGAGAAAAGAAAGACTAGGGGTGACAGGATAGCAGTGTTCCAGCCTTTGAGAGGCTGTCACAAAGAAGAGGGGGTCAACTTATTTTCCAAAGCACCAGAAGGCAAGACAAGAAGCAATGGATGGAAACTAATCAAAGAAAGAAGCAACCCGGAATTAAGGAGAAATTTCCTAATAGTGAAGACAATCATCCTGTGGAACAGCTGGCCACCAGAATTTGTGGGTGCTTCATCGCTGGAGGTTTTTAAAGAAGCTAGACAGCCACTTGTCTCAAATTGTATAGGGCAGGGTTCTTCAAACTGGACTTCAACTCCCAGAATTCCTCCTCCAGTCATGTTAGCTCAGGAATTCTGGGAGTTGAAGTCCACAAGTCTTAAACTTGCCAAGTTTGAAGATCCTTGGTATAGGGTCTTCTATTTGAGCAGAGGGTTGGACTAGAAGACTTCGAACGTCCTTCCAGCTCTATTCTGATTGACATTGGCTGCCATATTAGCCTGCCCAAACATTCCATCAGTTGATTTTAGGCCACTGTTTCCCTACCTTGGCAACTTAAAGATGTATCAACTTCAGATTCCAGCCATGCTGGTTGAGGAACTCTGGGAACTGAAGTCCATGCATCTTCAAGCTGCCAGGATTGAGAAAAACACTGCTGAAGGAGACCAGTCCTGATCACCTTTTGAGCTGGGGCTCTTCTGTCTGATGAATCTTTTTTGTGTGAAGATTGATGGTTGCTTAAGTCGGCGAAGATTTCAGTCATCCAAGTAAAGTTGTCTAGAAGGTGAGTCGTGCAAACTTGGACGTCTTTTGGTTTGAAATGCTCTGGTGCTTATCCAGGTAGCTTCTAAAATAAAAAAAGAAACAAAAAAAAGAACATAAGTCCAGTTGCCATGACTCTGCTTCCAGATGATTGCTTAAAGCTTTGTAGGTGCAACCTCTACTCTGCTGTTTTGTTGATCTTTGAAAATGTAGACTCTGCAGCTTAAGGGAGCTTACAAAAGTTCTGAGTTCATTTACCAGCAATGCTATTTATAGTAGGGGTCCCCAACCACGGGCCAGTAGTGGGCCACAGCATGCCAGAAACCGGGCCACACAAACAAGCAAAACCCCTTCAGCAAGATGCAGGCAGCACACAAAACCACTCCCTCTGTGGAAAAACCTCTCTCCACGGAACTGGTCCCTGGTGCCCAAAAGATTGGGGGAGCGCTGATTTACAGGGAACATTTTGCAAATTGACTGATAAAATAGTTCTAAATTCCTGTACCTAGAGTAGGCAAATAGAAGGAAATATCCTCTGACTGACTTTAAGAGAGCTCCTCCCTCCTTTCTCCTTTACTGCAAATCAAAGAAGGAGGATCCCACTCCAATCTAAATTTCAACAAAGGGGATTTAACATCCACTTTAAGTAGAAAGATCAGCAGAGATATAAGAACAGAGAAAAGTAATGGTAGGAGAATTGAATGCATGACTAAATCTTTTAATGTTGGGGATATATTGCACTGAGGGTGTATGGAGTAAGATAAAAATGCCATTCCGTTTGTATTAAGATATGTTTTTCCTCAGCAAGAATTGTTGAACAAGCTATAAATATCTGGGTTTACCTATTGTACTAATCCATAAATCAGGATTTTCGAACAATAATAGCTGGATTCTCATAACATGCTAAACTGTTAGTCGTGCTGAAATATATTGTGGGAACTCAGTTACTTAACACTAGCAAACAATGAAGGCATAGGGGGCAGTAATTGGAATTACATAAATTTTGAATGGTGTTTTATTCATGGCAAACATTTTTGTGGTCAGGCATTTGTTTCACCCTGTTGATTTAATTGGTTTTATCCTGTTCTCCATCTTACCTGTTGTATTTGCTTTTGCTTTTATTGCATTGCAATTTGGAGAAGTGGTTTTTGTTTTCTGCTCTTGGTGATAATGATGGGTAGCCCTGAGTGGTGTTTCAGCAATAAAAGAGAGGGAAGGCTGATACAACTCCATGACAAACATGTTTTAATTTCCCTTCATGTCAGTTTCATTAAACTTTACAGCAGGGGTCTCCAACCTTGGCAACTTTAAGGCTTGTGGACTACAACTCCCAGAGTTCCTCAGCCAGC